TTATGTATCGCTGCATGAATTATGATCAAAATTTGCCAAACCTTTACAATTGTCATTTTATTCAAAATAAAGAATTGCATAATTATAATACGCGAAACTCTTCAAAATTACACGTTAGTTACAAAAGGACGAACTATCGTGTTCACACTGTTTTTAACAAGGGAATTTCGATATGGAATTGTCTTGATGAAGAAATTAAAAATCAAAAATCATATTTTTCCTTTAAGAAAAAAGCAAAATTAAATTACTTGTTAATATAAATATTGTTAGCTAAAACATGTATTATATATATTGAACCAATTTAGATTCATGTACTTTATTTTAATCAAAACAATATAGGGGCCTTATATCAAAAGTCCAACAGGATTTCAAAAGGTCCCTTGCTCCTTTATATTATTATATTTTAACTATATTTCCATTGTAAATATTTTTGTGAGCAAATATATTCTATTCTATTTTAAAGGAGATAATAGTAGAAGTACTAAGGCAATCGAAGAACAGTCTAGTTTAGTGAACAAGCACAGGACTATTCGACAACGGTTGTTTTTGGGCGATAGACAGGTCTTGAATATAAGTTGCGAAGTTTCCCTCAAAGTTTGTGGGACGGTGCAGTTGCTAACCAAAGTTTTAAAAACTTTATTATGTATAAGCTAGATCTCCAAGAACTAGCTAGACAAAAGTCAACAATAAAACAAATTCTGCGATAGATCATAATGGTATGACCTCAAACATTGTTAAACTGAACGTTAACCTCAATAACCTTGGTAAGTTGAAGCAATAGGCTACACAATATTCGCGCTGAAGAGAAAATTAATGAAGTACCTGAATGTAAGGAAAAATCTCGGGATAATACGAAGATAAAAACTATCAAGACATGTATTATTACCATACAGACGTACGAGATAGTGGGGCACGGAGGTGAAGCAATAATACAGATAATACAGCATATATGATTATATATTTCAATGGCATACACATATAGTCCACTCCCTCATGTATAACATACGAATACTTCATGTATTTGGGGTGGAGGGAGAAGCAGTTTTCCCTTTCGCAAACGGTCGTTACCACCCGGAACTGGCGTTACCATCCCGAGTCTTATAGAATTCTAGGTAAGCTGAGCAAAATTCCTCGTTGTCCCATGCTGTCCCGCATGTCACATTTATTGCTCACGTCCAGTGTTTTTTAACGGGAAAATATTTCTATAAAACTAATAATTTTAAGCGATTTTAAGCGATTTTAGGCGATTTAAGAGAAATTCGACAATTTTAATCCGCGATTTAACGCGATTTTAGGTGATTTAAGGCGATTTAAGGCGATTTACCGCCCCAGAGTAGACCTAACAGAGGCTGACGTGACCGTCGAAACTGAAGCGTCTTCAAACACACAAAGTCAAAGTGGAAATAGACAAGCTGTTAATATTTTGTCTAAACAATCTTCAGATGCTGGCTGTTCATTTAATGATACGCTGGAAGTAGCTCAATCTCTTTTAACCGAAAAGCAAGAACAACTCATAACACAAGCGTCAAACACTAGATATGCTACTGTGCTGGCAGATATTCTTGGAGAACACTGTCCGACTGTTGTCAATTCAATTAAAAACCTTATCTGTAGTGATAAAAGGAAGTCTTGCGAGAAACTATGTAGGCGTTCACAAGGATCAGTTTTATTTGGAAAAGATTATGAGAGCTTACAAGACTTCGACTTCAAGAAAAATATGCAACGAATTTAAAACAAACCTACCTTATCTTGTGGAGCTAATGAACGCAGTGTCTAATAATGATAGTGATATAGAAGGCACAGGGCATGAGCTGATGGTTAAATAATTATTTTTTGTATTCTATCCTCATGACTGAAAGGTGGCATGAACTCTCCCTTGTTTTGCCCATGATCACAATACTCACGATTGAAGGTGGATGTAGCAAACGAGTAAGTAAATCTACAATGTGTTGTAAACTACAGATAATTTTGTGCGCTTTCCATTTAATTGCCTGACCAGTCAGACCCGAAATTTTTTCTGTATCAATGAAAAGGTCTGGTCTACAGTATGTTATTTCAATTTTCTTGTCAGATAGGTCTGAAGCCAAAACATTTTGTGTTCCATTCAACAATTTGACCGTTCTGACAAGTTTGACCATGTTATTGGAAGCACCCTATCATACTCAGAATAATATACTATGACCCCTAAATTTTGTTTATGTTGACAGGCATGAGGCAATTAACTATGTAAGGATGGTTGATTTTTAATAATATTAACCCTTTAAGTGGCAATGCAGCCCAATGCACTCTACTGTACTTTAATAGTATTTGAATCTGTCTAACGCCAGACAATTTTACATGTAAAGTGGACAGTGTTGCCACTCAATGGGTTAACCAAACATACTCATGCATCCTCTTAACCCTTTATATGTGGCAATGCACCTCAATACGCCCTCCTTCAGTATTTTACTCTGTATAACGCTAGACGATTTTTCCTCGTCAAGTGGAGAGTGTTGCCACACGATGGGTTAATAATACTATTATCTCTTGGGTATTTTTTGCCCTCCCAAGAAAGTAAACATGAAGTTTAGGGATCTATTTTATATTAATTGCTCTGATGATGATTCTTTATGTAATAAAAGTGTATGTACCACATAATATCACACACATTTACATGTTCCATATATTTTGTCATGTATGCATATAAAATGACATGTTAATATGTTTCAGTATGGTATGTTCTGTATTATTCCTTCCTGGGGGAATTACGGCTAGATTTGATAACTTTAATATTAGGATAGGTATGTAGGATATTGCCAACATAATTTGATGAAAAGTATTAAAATACTACAATCAATACAGAATACCAGTTGTGTGTGTACCATGGAGTATCAGGTTTATCAATAATTTTCAAATAATTCAGTTAAGTTGTCATGCTTGTATTAGTAATAATTTTGTATTGAATAGAAAAAAGAATTGATCCGATCAGCATAAATTATACCTGTTTGCAAACATAAAGAAAAAACCCCACTGTGTTGGTGGTTTTATACCCGATAAAGCTCATCTTCATTAGTATCAGGGTCTGATATTTGCAATATCCATATATCTCCATGCAGGATACCAAAAATTTGGTTTTGGATACCAATCTGTGAGTAACTTGTATCCCGACTCATGGATACTAAGAAGATGGGCTCCTGATAGTTTTTGAAAACTAGTTTGCCACCAGTGTTTCCTCATTGAAGGCTAGCATATTGAAGTTTTTTTGAAGGACTATATACATTTTAGTGCATTAGTAAATTGTTTAGTTATTGACGCTCCTGTTGTTATTGCAATTTGTAACAGTGAGAGTTATTGACACTTATTTGGATGGGACGGGGTATGATACTTATGGTACCAGTTGCCAGTATCCATAAGTGGGATATTGGGGAATACTAAACTATATGAAGCTAATATATTTTACATTCAAAGCAATTGTAGTTGTGTTTTATCAGATATAAATTGCTCAGCTACACATCGCGTTTTATATTCTTACTCAAGTGTTAATCAAATAGTACATAATATACAAAAATAAAGTATATAGGATGTTTTCTGCAAATTTTGTAAGAGAAATAAAAAAACTTGTATTATATGGTATTCCATGGCACATACTAGTACACCTGTAGGATTGGAATACAATCATTTAAAATTAGCATCTTGGACAGTGACCAGTCCATACAGTGTACTGGGTTTTTAAGATGATCATATTTTGTATATACAGTACATTTTCCGGGTGCATACCCCTGTACCCTCTAGAGAGCTTGTGCCTTCGGAGATTGAGTCATTAAGAAGCCAATTCATTTGAATGCTCCCCCCACCCCCCAAAGAATTATAAAGAAACACTTGGCTGCTCATCCAGCACCCCCCCCCCCCTAGAAAAACCTTGCTGGATCCACACCTGGTTTTATACTTTTTATGGTATAGTACAAAGAAATATAAATCAATAAATGTTCCGTGTTGACAAAAAATTACGTCAACATGGCTCTTAGCCCATCAGTGTTCAGAATTTACAAATGCTATGTTATAATATAGTGTATTATATACAATATGCTCATTTACACTGTAGAGTTTATGTTACACAGTAATTACATCACACTTTAACAGTGTCTAGAATAAAAGCAAAATTAAAATTGTAGAAAACTTAGGGTGTGTCAATGCTGAATGGGTAATGCATTGTCTTTAGTGTAAAGTTTCTTCGAAACTGTACAGTATTGTGCTGAT